AAGTGATGATATACTGGAAATGAACTGAATATGGTAATTTAGTTACAATTGATAATCATTTGTCTTTCCAGAGCTGCTACTTTTCATTGTGACTCAGGAGGTTTGCAGCATTCATTTACAGAAAGATCTCTTAAAATATAAATCCCTTGTGTCCTTTTATCCTGGCAAAACCTACACAATGACTGGCAAGAGTAAAGTAGAAGGGACCGTTAATTGCAGTTATACCCTCTAGTGTAAATATTGCTAATAATAATATTAGATCTTGATAAAATTTGAATTTATTTTACAGCAAAAGGTAATGGAAAAGAAGTATGCTATTATTGTTTTGTGCTGTTAATAAACGTATTACCAATCAGCACTGGACTGTCACCTTATGGCTATAGAAAGAAATGTTACATCTAATTATCTTTAAATTTTAATACTTGAAGCATACATTCAACTTTCTGAGATGAAAAAAGGGACACCTTTTAGTAAAAAGTATGACACCCCTGTCACACCTCCAGTTACACAAACCCTAAATATTGAATATACAAAAAATCATTAAAACTAATATTTTTACGATATAATGGGTTTTTAAAAAACTCACTAATTTGGAGGTTGGATTAAAGGCTTAGTTAACACTTTTCATAGTTAATGAGTACATTTTTTTAAATAAAGATTGACACTTTAAACCAAAAAGAGGGATATGGATATAGTGCAGTAAAAATACAATACAAATTCTCGTTTGTAATTAAACAAATTTAAAGAAACATGTACATGATAAATAAATTGTGGTTTTAGTGCTGCAACAAGATGGTCTTCATTTTTCAGTGGTCCTGAAACTTTAGGGTATTTGTTCAAGCTGACAGGTCCACTTTAAAATACACTTAAAAACATATCATGAAGGATATTGCTGTACACATTGTGAGAATGCTAGATTTCTATCATACTGACCCTCTGGCTTTAATACTATGAGTTACTCCTTATAGACGTATGCATATAAGGAGTTGTGATCTTTATGTGATATTCCTGATTTGTTAAGTATTTATTATATGCCAGCATTGTAAGTCTATTATGTTTCATCATTTAGTCCACAATCATCACATTTTCTGTTTATTGTGTTCAAGAAATGAAATATACAGAATTAATAAAATGGGAGTGAGATTTCGTGGGTGTGGATACAAACGGAAGTATGTGGTTTTTGTGGCTGTAGTTAAAAGTGATCACAGTCAGAAGGGTGTTCCTGGATTTCAATCAGATAGCCCCGACCACACCCAAAATCCTCTAGACTTGGCCTTAAGGCCCGTACACACGATAAAAAAAATCATACAAACATTTTTGGATGAGGACCAATCATCCAATAATCTGATCGCTACTACACACCAGAACATACAATTTTAATTTAAGCAGTACAGTAGTCATCCGAAAATACAATACAAATACAATACTATACATGATATCACTTTCGAAATTCTATTCAGTTGTATGAGAATTTTCGTAAGTTGAGCAACTTCTTAATTTTTGATATGGAGACTAGCATGCAAAACAAAATGGACGATCATTCATCTGATATTCTCATTGTGTGTACTAGGTATTACTGTGCTTCCCGAGTCTTTGACAGTTGGTTCTGGTTATCAAAAGTAAAAAGCCTTTAATTACAGTTCCAACTTCCAGCCCCAAGTCCAATCTTTAACAAGCTCGTTCAGAGACTCCACCTCCGCAACATCGCCAAAATACGCACGTTCCTAACCCCAGAAACCACTAAACAGCTCATCCACTCCCTCATCATATCACGACTCGACTACTGCAACTCCCTCCTCACTGGCCTGCCTCGCCGCTGGCTATCCCCGCTTCAGTCGATCCTGAATACGGCTGCCAGACTCATTCACCTTTCCAACCGCTCCGTTTCCGCCACCCCCCTCTGCCAATCCCTCCACTGGCTTCCGATTGCGCAATGGATCAAATTCAAAATCCTAACACTGACGTACAAAGCCGTCCACCATACTGCCCCAAATTACATCACCGACCTAATATCCAAGTACCACCCAGCATGCACACTCCTCTCCTCAGAAGACCTCCTTCTCTCTAGTTCCCTGGTCTCCTCCTCCCAGACCCGCCTCCAGGACTTCTCCAGGGTGTCACCCATCCTCTGGAACTCCCTGCCCCAACCCATCAGATTATCATTTACTCTCCTCTCCTTTAGGCACACCCTGAAAACCCACCTCTTCAGGGAAGCATACCCCACCCCCTGCTAACTTGCCAACCTCCTCCACTCTTCCTACCACCCCATCGCCCACAGCTATCTCCTCCTGTGCTACCATCCCCTCCCTCCTAGATTGTAAGCTCGAAAGAGCAGGGCCCTCAATCCCCTCATGTTTTGCATTGTATTGTTGTTGTTCTGTCACATGTTCTGTCCCCCTTTGTAATGTACAGTGCTGAGCGAACCATTGGCGCTTTATAAATACTGTATAATAATAATAATAATGTCACTGCTAATGGCTTGAATGAGTCATACTATACCTTTGCCTTTTTGGATTTCAGTTGCCACCATTAGGGCCATCCTTAACGATCTGGGAATGCTGCACAAATTCAAACCTACCACCAGGGACTTTAGTGAAGACTAGATACATCTAGAGTCTGCACCTTTAAGCCTGCAAAGTTTATTCCTATTTTGCAGGTCACTTTAAATATCCTCCACCATCCTATCCATGCCTGAACTGTCACTTGTCTCTGCCACCTACAGAAATAAAACTGATAAAAGGTATAAACAGAATTACATATGATGGATCCTCTTTTTATTGTTTTTAGGCGTGTAAGGCCATCTCTGTAATGTGTGGCCAGAACAGCCAAATGTATTCATTGCAGCTTGTCCTCTTGTAATCCACTGAAAAACAATGAAATTCTCAGTCCAGGCTGCTTTGCACAGAAGAAAGTAGTCTAGAGCTGTTTGGAAATGCTGTTAAAACAGCTGATGTTTGGGGAGCAAGCAGTGCCCTCATACCCCCCCTCCTTCTTCACTTCCCCACCAAACAGCAATGGTGGAGTGTGGAGCATGAGAGCATGTTTTCTGATTCCCTTCAAAAATGAAACCATCTTGTTATTGAAATTCCAATGGCTTACCACACAAGGACTCTTGCTTCTGACCCTCCAAGCCTCTGTGTTGATCTACAGGAAATCATTCATGATTCTTTAATGCAAAACAATCAGGCTGAATTCAAGCAAGCATGTAAGTACCTTGATGACAACTAGTGGTAAAGACAGAAATAAATTAAGTATAAAATCAATCACAAAACATAAAGCTGCTATTCCTACTGCCTTGAGGATGTGGGTGAGTTCATATAGTCTATAGGGGCCTTGTTCTTTTCCATGTCTCCATTACGGTCTAATATTGGTACCATCTGGTTGCTTTCTCATAATATCCTGGGGTTTGGTTCTCCTTCTAAACATATTAGAGAAGAGAGGTGTGGCACTTTGTTTGTCCTGGCGGCTATCTTTTACTGAAGCTAAAGTGATCAATGATCAGAGGGGATGGTATCTTTTGGTGAGGAGCCACTTGGGAAAAAATCTGGTCATCTTCCTGATTTACTATGCACCAAATATTAATCAGGTAGCATTATTTCAATTCTTTATTTTCTCTTTGGAATCAGAGTTTGAGGGTTGCGTTATACCAAGTGTTGGATAGATCCCATGTTGCCACGCTCAGGTCCTCTTGTAAACAGAGTCACAATTTTGCCCAACTACTGTTTCGCTATGTCAAACAACAAAAAACAGAGAAAAACAAACTGAATTAACCTGTCTAACAGTATGCGTTAAAAACAGGGGTTTAGTTAGCACACATTTGCAAATACATGCGTAAGCTATAGAGCCACGTCACGGCACCCCGATATTCTATAGTCCTAACTCTACAAATTTTGAGAGCCCCCATAGTAGAGGCACACGTATTTAATGGATAGACCAGGGGCAGGTGAACCTGAGGGAGCCCACCCCTCCTTAAAGGTAGAGTTAGGACTACAGAATATCGGGGTGCCGTACTGTTAGATAGGTTAATTCTGTTTGTTTCCAAGCTGGTGGCAAGTTGAGCTGGGAACTTTTCTGTTTTGTTGTTTGACATGTGTCACCCGTCCATGTGTTCCTTGCTGTGAAGGCCAGTTATTGACTAGGGCAGTGGCCATTTTTTGCACTGTTTCGCTATGATCTAGTTCAGTGGTTCTCAACCTTTCTAACACGCGACCCCTTAATACAGTTCCTCATGTTGTGGTGACCCCCAACCATAAAATTATTTTCGTTGCTACTTCATAACTGTAATTTTGCAGTAGGAGGAATAGTGCCCCGTCATTGGTATCAGTGGGAGGAATAGTGCCCCGTCATTGGTGTCAGTGGGAGGAATAGTGCCCCGTCATTGGTGTCAGTGGGAGGAAATAGTGCCTCGTCATTGGTGTCAGTGGGAGGAATAGTGCCCCATCATTGGTGTCAGTGGGAGGAATAGTGCCCCATCATTGGTGTCAGTGGGAGGAATAGTGTCCCATCATTGGTATCAGTGGGAGGAATAATGCCCCATCATTGGTGTCAGTGGGAGGAAATAGTGTCCCATCATTGGTGTCAGTGGGAGGAATAGTGCTCCATCATTGGTATCAGTGGGAGGAATAGTGCCCCATCATTGGTGTCAGTGGGAGGAATAGAGCCCCATCATTGGTATCAGTGGGAGGAATAGTGTCCCATCATTGGTATCAGTGGGAGGAACAGTGTCCCATCATTGGTATCAGTGGGAGGAATAGTGCCCCATCATTGGTATCAGTGGGAGGAATAGTGCCTCATCATTGGTGTCAGTAGGAGGAATAGTGCCCCATCATTGGTATCAGTGGGAGGAATAGTGCCTCATCATTGGTGTCAGTGGAAGGAATAGTGCTCCATCATAGGTGTCAGTGGGAGGAGGAATAGTGCCCCATCATTGGTGTCAGTGGGGGGAGGAATAGTGCCCCATCATAGGTGTCAGTGGGGGGAGGAATAGTGCCCCATCATAGGTGTCAGTGGGGGGAGGAATAGTGCCCCATCATAGGTGTCAGTGGGGGGAGGAATACTGCCCCATCCTTGGTGTCAGTGGGGGGAGGAATACTGCCCCATCCTTGGTGTCAGTGGGGGGAGGAATACTGCCCCATCCTTGGTGTCAGTGGGGGGAGGAATACTGCCCCATCCTTGGTGTCAGTGGGGGAGGAATAGTGCCCCATCGTTGGTGTCACTTGGGGGAGGAATAGTGCCCCATCGTTGGTGTCAGTGGGAGGAATAGTGCCCCATCGTTGGTGTCAGTGGGGGGAGGAATAGTGCCCCATCCTTGGTGTCAGTGGGGGGAGGAATAGTGCCCCATCCTTGGTGTCAGTGGGGGGAGGAATACTGCCCCATCCTTGGTGTCAGTGGGGGGAGGAATACTGCCCCATCCTTGGTGTCAGTGGGGGGAGGAATACTGCCCCATCCTTGGTGTCAGTGGGGGGAGGAATACTGCCCCATCCTTGGTGTCAGTGGGGGGAGGAGCCCCATCCTTGGTGTCAGTGGGGGGAGGAATACTGCCCCATCCTTGGTGTCAGTGGGGGGAGGAATCGTGCCCCATCCTTGGTGTCAGTGGGGGGAGGAATCGTGCCCCATCCTTGGTGTCAGTGGGGGGAGGAATCGTGCCCCATCCTTGGTGTCAGTGGGGGAGGAATAGTGCCCCATCGTTGGTGTCACTTGGGGGAGGAATAGTGCCCCATCGTTGGTGTTAGTGGGAGGAATAGTGCCCCATCGTTGGTGTCAGTGGGAGGAATAGTGCCCCATCGTTGGTGTCAGTGGGAGGAATAGTGCCCCATCGTTGGTATTAGTGACACCAATGATGGGGCACTATTCCCACTGACACCAATGATACTTACCTTGCTGACCCCTGCTCCAGCCTGGGCTCGCTCGCTCCCTCCCTCTCCCATGGTACACACTTACCTGTCAGCTGTCTTCCTTCTCCGGCCGCTCTCCTCCTCTTCACTCGCTCCATCTTCGCGGTGCCGCTCGGCTCCTCCTCTCCAAGCTCCACCTCCTTGCCAGTGATTGGCCGCCTGTGTGCCTCTCCTGAGCTACAGTGCCGGCGGCCAATCACAGGCAAGGATTGATCTCGAGGTGTGTCCAGATGACAGGGGCGGCATGTCATCCCGCCCACACCTGGAGGCGGCGGCGGCGGCGAGGAGCGGTGTCTCGGTTCCTAAGACCATCGGAAATATGTGTTTTCCGATGGTCTTAGGCGACCCCTGTGGAAGCGTCGTTCGACCCCCAAAGGGGTCGCGACCCCCCCAGGTTGAGAACCGCTGATCTAGTTGATGCCTGGAGGGAGGTTAACCCAATCTCTCGAGATTATTCTCATTTCTCCAAAGCTCATAATCGGTATTTCTGATTAGACTGTGTGTTTCTCCTCTCGGGATTCCTACCCAGACTGCTCACTACCAAGATTGTTTCTAAATCTTGGTCTGGCCATGACTCTATACTACTGATGCTTTCCAACCTGACGGTTAAAATGGCCAACCCAATTGGCATTTGAATGAATCTCTTTTGAGTAATGAATCCTATTGTCTTGATATCTCTACTCACTTGAAATCTTATTTTGAAACCAACAAAGCAGAGGATACGACACCTGCTATTAATTGGGTGGCTCATAAGGCCTCAGTTAGGGGCTTTCTTATCCAGTTGTCTTCTTGACTCAAAAGAGCTACTGACGAATTGATTTCTGCTAAATCTAAAGCTTATGAAGCACTTGCTGCCCAGCATAAAAGGTCCCCTGTTCCTGACCGGTTAGCTAAACTTGAACATCCCTGCACCGAATTGAATGTCTGTCTCACTACCAAAGTGGAAAAACAGCTGTGTTGGGCAAACCATAAATTCTTTACGTGGCGAGATAGACCTGGTTACCTGTTGGCAAATACATTTTCACCCAGAAACTCTCACCTAGCTCTCCCCAAAATCAGACTATTGAATGGTAACATATCTCAAGATCCTTGTAAAATACTTCAAGAATTTCACTCCTTCTATCCTGACCTTTATCGCTAACCTCAAGAAAATGCTTCTCCATCATTTCATTGTTTTATGACATCTCTGACTCTTCCATTTTTTAATCTACCACTTGTGAGGAAATCCAGAAGGCTATTAAGACTTTGGCTCTACATAAATCACCAGGTCCTGATGGTCTCACCATAATTATTATAAGACATTTTCAGAACTTTTGGCTCCACATATGGCTCTCTATTTTAACCATGTGCCAGAAGGAGGTATGGTGCCACATAACAAGAATAGGGCATATATACAGTAAGTGCTATTCCTAAATCTAATAAGATAGTAGAGATGTTCTTAATTATTACCCTATCTCTCTCATCAACTGTGATCTGACAATCCTTACCAAAGTTCTGGTTTGTGTCTTAATACCTTTCTAAAAACCTATATTCACAAGGACCAATTGGAGTTCATACGGGGAGACACTAGATCAGATCCAGCTGTCTCTAACGTTAATCTCTGCAGTGAGATCTAATTGGGATACCTCTTTGCCTAGGGAAATTCTGCTTTTATCATTAGATCTTCACAAGGCTTTTGACAATTTAACCTGGGAATTCTTATTTAACAAGCCGGATGCCTTAGGGTTTGGTTCCACATTTATCTTTTTATTGAAAACCCTATATTGTACCTTGCAGCCCAAATTTCAATACAAGGGTACGAATTGTCTCCTTTTCTTATCAGACATGGTACTAAGCAGGGTTATACATTCTCCCCTTTACTTTTCGCACTGGCAATTGAACCCCTCGCTATCTGTTTTCATTATGGTATTACAGGCAATAATAGTGGACGAATAGGAGCACAAGTGTGACTTTTGGTCCCCACATATATATGCAATGTTCGTTTCATTACTTTTTCCAAGTACTGTCAGTGCAAACTATGATTACCTGTGAATGATAATCTGACAGCTCTATGCCTCTCATGTTTTTGTACTTTGTTTGTACATCTGTTCTTTTCAATAAAAAGATTGGAATATAAAACAAAGCTGCTATGTATACTGCTCACCTTCTTGTGATTGCTTGGCAGAAGAGAAAAACTTTGTATAGTATAATAGTGTAAAAGGTATTCAGCAAAAAAAAAAAAAAAAGCCACATCTGACACTAAATACTGGGGCCCATTGCAATAAATACAATGTTTATTAATATAAATACATATTACAATTTAATATATTTATTACAAAATGTTATAGACTACCAAAGCAAAATCATATGTAAAAGTGCTTTTGTCATCCATGTGCTATTTCCATACATGAACCAATACTGAATATAGCCAATTTTGTACTCATCGATGGGTGGGTTTCAGTGCATTTTTAACAACATATGTGAGCTCCCCAAAGAAATAAAACAATTGAAACAGAATGTATTATATGTTCAAGGATATGCATGTTTCAGAAAATCCACACATGTGACACAGAATGGCTGGGGATGGTGGAGGCACCCCAAGGATGGTTAATTTACAGATCAGACATTCACTTCTGCCAGTCCTGCAACAAAAGACAAGATGGCTTTGTCACCCATTACTTCACTTTAGCTATTTCCTCTTAGCTTTCCTAAAAAAGCCCAGCAGTAAATATTAAAAGCTGCATAGTTACCTGTTATGCTGAGGACATAGGAAGGCCTCTTTTCCCATGATGGCAACATGTGTTCCACACAACACACAGCTCTGTTTATTAGGGAATAACTGCAGAGAGGACAGAATGCATGTAATAGATGCATTAAATAGCACAATATTTTGGGGAGAACAAGGAAGATCTAAAAAAAAAATCTACTTATTTGTGTCTATACCAAGTATTTGTATTGCCTGATTGTCCTAAAGAATTACCCAGCATACTGCAAGTATCTAAACTCTGGAACAATGGTGATCAATTTGCAGCCCTTTGCTTGCCTTTACCTGGCTCTTAAAGGAGAAGTACAGCCAAAGCTCTTTTGGCTGTGGTTCTCCTGTGGATCACAGGAGTGAAGTTCTTTCCGCACACCTGTGACCTGTTTTCAGCCGATCACTCAGCCAGCCCAGGCTGGGGAAAGATCTTGACTTCAAAGTCAGGATGCACCCCAGAGTCTGGAGAGGCACCTGGCTCAGTCTCTCCCTCCCCCTCCCCAACCTAGTGCTCCAGTGAGCACTGGGGGGGGGGGGGGCAGGGCAGACAGTGGTGACTGACAGTCGCCACTCTCTACTCAGAGCGGCCATGAGAACGCAGCGATCAGCGGTCATGTGATCGCTGAGTTCTCATCCTTAGAGCAGGTGGGGGACACATGCTGCATCCACCTAGGTAAGTATAATGAGAGAAAAAAATAAAAAGCCATACTTCTCTTTTAAGGCACTATTCCTCCTACTGACACAAGGCACTATTCTTCCCACCAACACCAATGATGGGACACTATTCTTTCCACTGAGTCCAAAGATGGGGTACTATTCTTCCAACTGACACCAAAAATGGAACACTATTCTTCCCACTGACACCAGGCATGTAGCACTATTCTTCCTACTTATACAAGGCACCATTCCTTCCACTACCACCAACGAAGAGGCATTCATTCTGTTACTGACACCAAATATGGGGCAGTATTCCTCCCACTGACACCAATAACTGGGCATCATTCTTTCTACTGACATCAACGATGGAGCACTATACCTCCCACTTACAACAATGATGGGGCACTGATTCTCCTACTGACAGGAGCTATGTTATTTTTTTTTCTACTTCCACTGATCACCAAGCCTGAAGCATTGTTTATGCTGGGGCATTTTCTACTCCCACTGGCCACAGTCCAGCCCCACTAAAATCTGAAAAAGTTAACTGGCCCTTTGTTTAGAAAGTTTGGAGACACCTGCTTTAGAAGAATAGAGGCAAAATACGTTTTCCGATATGCTTTATTCAGTTTTCCTTCACTCGCACTGTGGAATACCCTGTAATGTTTTGAAGAAGGGGGAGGAGGCAACAATGTAAGGAACTGAATAAATACTTATATTTCAATATTTTTTAGGTGAAGGTAGGGCTCCCTTTAGATTGAAACAGTGCTTGAAATATAAGATTTTCCCTTGCCTGAGGCATTGCTTCTGCTGGGGCATTCACTCACATAATGGAATTCCTGCA